GAAATAAAACGCGGCAAGTACGGAGCAGTTAAAGCCACATTTCCATCCCTTCAAACTGAAATTGCCAATTGAAAATAAGCAAATAAACGTCCATTTCACAAAAACTCCGTGTCTGCAAATAATAATAATAATAATAACCATCATCATCATTATTGTAACATTTTATTAGGCTGCATATGTAGAAGACGCCTTTATCCAAAAAAGGAACAGAGCACAAATAAACACAATATTTTTGACAAATATCAGCGCATATCCAGTGTGTGTGGAGCACGCACTGATGGCTGCGAGACGCCTATGTGAACAGTTTCATTGCATTTCTTTCAGTGGAAACAACTTAAAATACTCTTTAATTTCTGGTCATACAGAAAATAATAATACATTATTCGCAAATAAATTTATTTATAACAAGAAAACGTTGTGCTTTAACAATTAATCAAGGCGCGCTTCATGATCTCCGTGAACTGAAGCGCGAGACCTGAAACAGCCACCGCATTCGAATTTGTTCGTTTTATATTGGACATTTAAATGTCCAATTTAAAACGAACAAATTCGAATCGAAAGCCAATATCTTCTATGTTTATGTAGCTTAATTTCTCTCTAAATGTGCATCCGGAGATGGAGATATGTTTTTAGCCGAAAATCATTTAGAAAACAATAGTTTATTAATAAACAATTAATGCCTCGTTATTTTATATTATTTTATTATCAGACACATTTATTATAGCCTATAAATCACTGCAGGGAAAATATAATTTCCAGGTTCTAATTTGGCCTCAGAAAACCAGTAAAATATATATTTTTTTCATATTAATTTGTCAAATATTTTAAATGTTTAAGGGGCAAAAAATCAAACAAATATCTGAAAATTCGTCGATATGTAGCTATATATAGCCTATATATTGTAGGCCTACAGTTCAAATTAAAATGTTATGCAATTTTAAACGGTCAATCGGTTAAACATGGACACCCCTATGTGCATCTTGCTTCAGATCATAACGTTCCATAACACCGATAAACTCCGCCTTTTACTTTGAGCACGCCTCTAGCCCGAGCTGGCCCCCTCTGGCCCAAGGTATTCGACGGGCCAGAAATCCTGGCCGTTGGCCCTGAGGAAGCCCCGATCAAGCCCCGGAAGTGACAGTGGAAACGCGACTGGCCCTGGCACGCACTAGCACGGCCCGGCCCTGGCCCGGCAGTGGAAACGAGTGAGAGAGATGCACATGTTCATGCTAGCCATGGACGTGCCGCAGATAGATCGTATAATATTATGACACTAAAATATGTATGTGTGTGTGCAGGCATTTATGTGTGGCTGTCTAAATATGAAGGTGTAATTGTCAAATTATTTCTCTCTTTGTGCACATTTACCACATTGTAATATGTATTTGTGTGTGTGTGTGTGTGTGTGTGTGTGTGTGTGTGTGTGTGTGTGTGTGTGTGTGTGTGTGTGTGTGTGTCTAGGCCTGTTTATTGTAATTCCAATTATTCATTATTCACAGGTAGAACACAGAGAGGCAGAGGCAGAAGTTTTATTGCAAAAGTTACATTTCCCTTACATCCTGGGAAATTTGATATATTTTACATTTATTTTATGTTTTTAATTTATTTTGGAAAGTTTTATATATGAAGGAAACAACATCTGAATGTATTCTGCTTTTAAATGCACTTGTTTGATAAAAACACCTTTTTCTCAGTTTTTTGTCCAAAATGTTGTGTTTTTGACAAAACCTACCTCTGTTCAAGAGGCAATAAAAAAAGAACAGATGAAGATAAAATAAAATAAAAACGTTTTTTTTGCCTAAAAGCAGAGGCTCAGATCTTTATTTTTATATATATCATCTTCATATATTCATGGAAGAAAATATTCAGCGGGGGCATTCAAATTTAGCGAAAATCGTCAAAAACCCTGGCGGTGGCTGGCAACTTTTTTTTAAAACGCTGGCGGGGAAAGAGTTAAAGGGACACTCCACTCATTTGCATTAAGATTTCCATTGTTAGAAATCCAGTCATACTATTGAATGGTCGTGCAACACTCTCTCATTTTCCCACCAGGCGAGAGAAATCGCCATTTTACGTCATTGTAGGAGGAAGCGTAAGAGGGGATTTCTGTAAAGACTACAAGCTCTAGTTCCCACCCTTTCAAACCCACCCATAGGGGGTTGGACCTATCACAGATCAGTGCCAGTGTTTTTGATTTCACCGGCAGAAACTTTTTGAAAATATGGACTATAAGGTACTGATTACGCAGACAAATGCATTATGGAATGGGTTGGGTACCGAAACGCGGTGCCAATAGGGAACCGGTTCCGACGTAAACGGTAATGACGCCTTGACGCTATTAAGTCATCATATTATATTAGCCCGCATTATCTGATTTAATTGTATGAAATGATTTCCAGGCGGTAGCATAGAGTCGAGCTCAAATCTAGTCGAAATTGATGGGCCGAGTTGTGGGAGTGGCCTGCGGAGCTGAGCATTGCAATGCACTATGGGGATTGTTGTCTACAATCCACAAGCACTAAAAAGTTATTTTCTGCCTTTTATCGGCCAAATTAGAAATTTATGATACTAATCTACTACATATATGACCCACTTTCAATACATATTCACGTCTCCACCGGTGAAATTACCCTAATTATCGGTCGATAATATTAAAATATCGAACATTATAAAATATCAAACAAATATAAAATTATCGAACTTCTTTCTGTCATCTTGTTCCGGGTCTGACTCCGGTACAAATTGATATAGTTGCACAGACGTGTCTGCAGAAACTCCTGCCGCCATTCTTTCTCCAAAATATACCCAAAACTGTTGTCAAGGCAACACTCCTCGTGCCTTGTGTCGAAACGATCGCAGTAAAGAGGGACTGAGTGAGCGAAGCTCATTATCATTTAAAGGCATATGCAATGAAACGGCATGCTGAAAATAGAGCTGTTTTTGACCAGGTAAAAAGAGTGTTTTCTTAAAATACTAATAAGAATTTTTAATTAAAGTATATTACAAACTTTTCATGTAGACCCTTAAGAATCAAATTTACTGATTTAAAGGAGGCATTATATGACCCCTATAAAACTGCAGTGAATCAAAGAAAGTCTCAAAAACATGGTTTGAAATCGCTGGTGTTTCTGATGTCACAAACGACCTTGTAACCAATCGTCTACGTGATCATCAGCGAGTGGATCTTTGAGCTGGTGTGAGTGAGTGGAAGCGGGGCTAATTTGCATATTCACAGAAAAAAAAAAAACATTTAAATATGTAATTTTAGTGATGAAAGATGCGAATCTCACCAGCAGTGGATTTGAATTGCATCTGTCCAGCATTTGCGCAGCTGAAAATAATGAGACTTTCTTTCAAAATTCTCCCTCCACATCATCACCTTTAATGGGTTCTTTTCTTTGACTGTTTAACAAATGCATTTACTAAGCAGAAGAGGTCCTTTTACTAACACACACACACACATACCTTGAATCGTTACAAGGTTTTAGCTGTAACATGTGACTCTGTCCTTAAACCGTGACATGATGTCATTCATTCACATCCAAGGTCTGACTAATAGGACTAATACTTCCCACAGCATACAGTATCTTGAGGGGACAGATGAGCAGAAGAGAGACAGAGAGGGATGGAAAAGAGGGTGGCATATTTCTCTCATGCACACTCTTGTGCGATTTTATCCTCTCTGTCTCTTTGAGTTCTTCAAAACAGCTGCCTCGCACACTGATAACAGCCTGAAATACAGCGTGACAATAACGTTTCACTGTCAAGCTTCATCAGAAAAACACACTCGAATAGTAACACCTTTAAACTCAATCATTTACTAATATAAAAGCTTGTTTCTAAACCATGCATTTTTTATGAGTTAGGACTCATTATAAAATAGAGGAGCAATTAAAATAATCTACAATGTCATCCAGCAAGCCCTTTGCATGAAAATACACTCGTCAGTGTATACAAGGCCACTAATGATCAATTAACACATCCACTCTAAGTAGACAAATAACAAATTACACAGATATTAGCATTTCCCTAATGAAACACGAAAGATAATGAATCAAAATTAACAACACAATGTGAAAATGATAAATAAACATGACCCTATATATGCAGTATATATAAAAAAGAAATATCAACACAGTGAAACTAACCAGTGAATACCTTAAACCGGGGTTCAGAATTGTAGGACTAGAAAATTACCATTAAATGCACATACTGTATGTGGCAGTCATGTTTAATGTAATTTCAAATTCTGTGCTAATACACCATTTACCTTACTTTATTCAAACAGGGGATTTGATTGGTTTAGATTTGTTACAACGAAAAAATAAAGATATAATGCATGTGCATAACTTGTTTTGTTTTAAGTTTTTTATTACGATTTTATATATTATAATTCAAAGGGTTACTGAGGTAAATTGTCTAGTCCAATTACGTCTGTCTCAAGGCTGTGCCATCACTAGGGATATGCTACTACTAATGTGTTTTTATCAAACAAAAATTATGTAACCATCTCTCAACTAGTCTAAAAGTAAACAAACCCCTGGAAGACAACCAAAACACATTTTGTGTATGCGATTATGCGATCCCAATGTGAATCAAACTGATATATATATACATATATATATATATATATATATAGAGAGAGAGAGAGAGAGAGAGAGGAGAGAGAGAGAGAGAGAGAGAGAGAGAGAGAGAGAGAGAGAGAGAGAGAGAGATAGAGAGATGCAATGTGATCAATGTTAACATCAGCCATAGGTTCACTTCCAACTTTTTCAGTGGAAACTCATATGGCAATAACTCGTCATATGGGTTCAAATCAGTTTTCAAACCTGATAGATATACACACCGTGGCTTTTGACATTGATATTACTAGATCACAACACATTACTGTTATTCATAATCGCACAAGAACATTCAACACTGTGTAAGGGAAAACTTACATCCAAGCATCACTGCCTACATAATCAATCACAGCAGTGTCAAAATCAAAGCAGACTCACCATACACAATGGTCACCATGGAGACAGGCATGACCAGAAGTCCCAGAAGCATATCTGCTACTGCCAGTGACATGAGAAAGTAATTGGTGGCATTTTGCAGTTTTCGTTCCAGATTGACAGCCAAGATTACTAGAATGTTTCCAGAAATCGTAACAATGACCACAATCAAAATCAGCAGTGCAACCCAATTTTTCCGAATTAACTCCTCTTTACTCGTCTCGCCGTTGCACCTTAGCCATGACAGTGGTTCTTTCCTTTCACTGGAAGTGCCAATGATGGATAGATTGGGCAGGAGAGATCCTTCTGTATCAGCCCAACTTCTGTTACAGCCAAACGTACTGTTACGGACCACATTACCCAGCATGATGTCCGTGTTCGGTGTCCAGGTGTCTGGGTCAAAGGGCATCAGGTTCGAAGAAGTGAAGATGCTTTTGGACACAGGTTTTGAACTGTTGGCATGCAAGTTCATAATGTCCCTTATTAACACTGCTAGACTCTCAAAAACAAGTTCAGTTAGAGGTGATGTATCCTTCTTTTCTTCATGGCATCTTTCACACAGTCCAGAGGTTTCATATTTCACACGAGTCCAGAGGTTTGCTTCATTCTGTCCAGTTTCAAAACACTCCTGAAGTCTTCTACTCTTTTACTATCACCAAAAAGCCTGAAAACTAGAAATGTAAGGTGTATAGATAAAACGTGGTTTCCATAATCCGTGCATTTCAGACGGCGCAGTCTTCTTGTTCCCCTCTGTTCTCGTTGTCAGATTTTATGAGCTGGGTGACCTGTTGTTGAGCACATGCTCTCTCTCTCTCTCTCTCTCTCTCTCTCTCTCTGCTCTCTCTGGCTGTGTGTGAACAAGCAGAGTCTGGTCCTCCTCAAGTCAGTGATCATTCTATTCAATCCAGTTGTGCTGTGTGAGTGAGCGAGAGCGAGAGCGAGAGCGAGAGAGAGAGAGAGAGAGAGAGAGAGAGAGAGAGAGAGAGAGAGAGAGAGAGAGAGAGAGAGAGAGAGAAGTGTGAGTCAGAGGTTTAGTGAAAGTTCCTCAGGTGTTCCCTCTTTCTTCTGCTCCTGCATCTGCAAAAGATGAGAGCTTATGTAACGTGACGTGTGACATAAATACACACACTCCACTTTCTTGTGGCCCAAAGAAAATGTGATTTATGGAAATAGCGGGCAAGATTAAGCAAACATTCAGACATATATATATAAAACACACAAACTTACCTTGAGAAAATAAATATGCTAAGTTAAAATCATGACTGCAGGATGTCTACCTATCCCTCTATATCTGTCCATCCATCATCCATCCATCTCAGTCTATCTATCTATCTATCTATCTATCTATCTATCTATCTATCTATCTATCTATCTATCTATCTATCTATCTATCTATCTATCTATCTATCTATCTATCTGTCTGTCTGTCTGTCTGTCTGTCTGTCTGTCTGTCTGTCTGTCTGTCTGTCTGTCTGTCTGTCTATCTATCTATCTATCTATCTATCTATCTATCTATCTATCTATCTATCTGTCTGTCTAAATGTCTATCTGTCCCTCTCCATGTTCATTTATCAATCAATCCATCTTCTCTCACACAACAGGCATTAGTTGTGCAATATATTTCTTTCTTTCTTTCTTTCTTTCTTTCTTTCTTCTTTCTTTCTTTCTTCTTTCTTTCTTTCTTTCTTTCTTTCTTTCTTTCTTTTCTTTCTTTCTTTCTTTCTTTCTTTCTCTCTCTCTCTCTCTCTCTCTCCCTCTCTCTCTCTCTCTCTCCTCTTACACTGCCATTTACATTTGAACTGTCTCATTACCCCCAGCACTGTGCCGCTTATCTTCCCTTTTGTAGTACATCTAACCTGGCAGTCATGTCTTGTAGAATAATGTTTACATGTGCATGTGTGAATATGGCGTGTGGTGTGAAATGAAAAGTGTTGACCACATAAGACTCTGTTAAAAAATGAACCTGTCAGATGTGGACTATCAATAGTTCACTTCCAATAAGATCTCACCTTTTAATGAGCACTACTCATAGATTTACATATTAAATGTTTACAGAAGACACACACATGCAAGCTGTTTCTTCAGCAAACAAGGGAAAGATTGAAATGACATTTGAATTATTCTCTATACAGAAGACGTACAATACACATTGCATGCATGCAAAAAATAAATAAACAAATCAATCAGATTTATAGATTCATTCAGACATGGAGGAAGAAAATTACTAATATTTAACTAGCTTTGTTGAAATATGTAGCTCTAAATCACTTATACGGGTCTATCCTGGTCATCCATGATGATTCTTTACAGGTTCAGTCCTGTACTTCAACGTTTAAATTATGGGAATATTTGCTAATGCAGTTTTTCTCAGTCACTTTGGTGCATTTCTCAGATCACTGTTTATGTTTGCACAACAGTTAGTTCAACCTCCACAACATTTAGTCATTTGTGCACATCATAGTAGCAGTTTCTCATTCCTTCCAACAAATTGCAAATGCTTTTGGACATGTATCAATTGCTTTCATACAAACTCTCTGCTGCTGTTTTATAACATTTATAACGTGTATTTTTTTTTTCTTTTGCACAATGCTGTGAACAAATCAGAAATGCAAACAGCATGTAGTAAAAATGTGAAACATACATATTCAGTGTCTTGCAGTGTTGTGCAAGTTACTTCCAAACTGTAATACATTAGGTATTACTTGTTACTGTTATTTAATAGTAATTCATTACCTTACAATATTACTGCCCCAGAATTGTAATGCGTTACATTACTCATGTATTACTTTTTAGTTACTTTCACCCAAAATAACTAAGTAGAACTTAACTTTTGGGCTGTAACGATATGCAATATGAAAACGAAATCGCGATTCGCCACACGACTCAGATCCACGAACCTACAGAATCGCGACACACCTCTTCCAACTCCAGCGTTATTCTCCTTACCGTCCAGATCCAATGCTGCCTTATCTTTAAATTAGGCTATTAGTATTATTTGAAGTTAACATTATAAAATACGTGGACCTACACCACAAAACTAGTTGAGGATAAATTATTTAAAATTGGGGAAGTCCAGCATTATGGACATGATGACATTTGCAGTCAAAACTTGAAATAAAAATTCTCAGAAAATACATGTATTGAAACGTATATAGGCTACTTCCTTAAAGGACTCCAGACATTAGACAAATATCAGTCTATGTTTTATTTTTAATATTAGGGAAAAGACACACATTCATGCGTGACAAAAAAATAGGAGGCAAAATATATTTTTTGTAATTCTGTTAATTACACTGCGCAAATCGGATGAGGAAGGATTGGCTCTCCAGTCTCCATAGAACTTAAAATATTCATTTTATTTTAGTTTTCGTGTTTGCATTTATGAGGAAAAAACAATGTTACAGATGCGACCGCTCTGAACCGGCACTAAAAGACTGCTTTAAAACTTCCACATAGTCTGTTGCCTTTAAGAAGTAAAAGCAGACAATACACTGTAATACAACTGTAATACAAGCCTCACTGAACATGTAACGAGTAAAATATTACTGAAAATTGATTAGTAATGCCTTACACTACTGCGTTACAGCAAAAAGTAATATGTTACTGTAATGTATTACTTTTGTAATGCGTTACTCCCAACACTGGTGTCTTGTACTCAGTTACCTCACAAAATACAGTAATGTGAAACTTTACTGTAGTTTTCAAATGGCTGTGAAAATAGTATATAAGGCTGTCTTGAGCATTTTCAGGTAGTGTCGTCACCAAGATCTGACTTTTTTTGCATTGGAAAACATTTACAGAATAAACTGTCATAATGAAAACATGACAACGCCATGACTATCTTGTTCATAAATAATGGTGCCAGGACTTTTCATCTTGATGACACTGACATGACATGATTATTTGCTTTTGTGGAATGAGCTAAGTGACACACTTTTGTACATTATCAACTAGGTTTTGAAGTTTGTACTTTTTTTTTTTTTTGAGAACGGTATTAACTGTGGTGTAATTGTAACAACAGTTACATCACTGTAACAGTTACAGTTGCAGTGATATGAGAAATGCACCAAAGCAACTGAGAAAAACTGTAATAATCTCAGCGCTATGACAGAATGCCTTTGGTCTTTATTCTGCTTGGTTCATTATAGCAGCACAAATGAAAGTTGCTGAGGTGCTGTAATGAATAAGTTATGCAAATAATACTGTAACATCACATTTTCAGCTGAATTCTTTTCTTGCCTCATTTCTCAGCTAGAACTGTATTTCGGTTGGAGATATAGTGATGCTGTACCATGATTACCAAATGGCAGCTGTATTTCTGATTTAAGGAATTATACTTTTTGGTCAGTGATGGCACTGATATAACACATTAATTGAATGTTGTCTATGTGTTGCTTCTTACACAATGTAAACGGACACCATCCATACATGAGTCTTTTGAAGTTAAATGCTCATCATGGTAATACAGTCATAGAAAGCATGATAAGTTGCACTGCAGACCCTCAAAACATTTCCAGGTCACTGGACAGTACATCAGCACTAGCCCTCCAGCTCTGCTTTCTACTCAGATATCAACAAACTCGCTTCCACACACAGCCAGTTGTTGCCATGGAAAGGCTTTGTTGCTAACAATGCATTCAATAGGGAATGAGATAACCAAACGATAATCACATTGTTGCCTCTTTTTTGACCTATCACAGGTTCATAACTATGGAGATGCTCAGTGCTCGAGCGGATAAGGACAAAGACTGCAAAGGGCAATAGACATCTTCAGAAATAGAAGAACAAAAAGAATAGAATTCAGACCTAAGGTGTGTCTCTTTTCAAAGCAGCCCATTCTCACTCCCAAGGCGTCACCTAACTGACGCCTTGGGAAGCATTTGACCATGCTTCAATATCTGACGCTTTAGGCGCCCTTTAGCGTCAGTTAGATGACGCCCTAGGATTGCGTGTACCCTACCCCCACCCCATACCTAAACCTAACCGCGTCCTCTAACTGACACTTTCCTTTAGCGTCAGTTAGATGACGCCATAGGATCGCGTCATGTAAGTGACGCTAAAGGGCGCCTAAAACGTCAAATATTGAAGCATGGACAAAGGTGACGCCTTGGGGTGAGAATGCGTTGTTCAAAGAAGTGAAAGCGCTTCAAAAAATGAAAGAAAATGTTATAGAAGTTTAAATTCACTGTAAAGCAAGTGTACTGTTCTAAACATTTTACACAAACTATATATATTTTACCAAATAATACAATTTAAATTTTTTTAATTAAAACAAAGTTAAACATGTACTCCAAAATAGCTATACAATCAAAGGCATATGTCTAAAATAAAGTTGTGTTCCAAATTTAAAGCTCATGTAAAGTTGTTGATATCACAAAAGTTCTTGTGCAATTTTGTTAAGGCATAATACAAAAAATAGCCACTGTGACACCCACATTATTTATTTATTTATTATTATTTTTTTATGTTTTCTCCTTTAAAGAATTAATCTAACTCATACCAAAACAGTTACTAAATCGGGAACCAAGTCTCAGACCTGTTTGATTATATGTGTAAAGTCAAGATTAGAAATTTTTTTAATATAAAATAGTTAAAATAAAATTATAATAATAATATGAAATGTGACTGCTCACTATAGGAGAAAAGGATGTACTGTGTTTCCATGCTAACACAATGTCCGATTTTAAAACAGTTTTTTCACAGGATGATTTTTTTTTTTAGCGTTTAAGCGTTCAAATGATATCTAATTTATGATTATTAAAATATGTGATGGGGGGGGGGGCATTAAAAAAACAAGCACTTAAGGGGTTAACATATAAACACACTTGTCATCCTCCAAATGGGATCAGCCTGGCCACTTTGAGGCTTGTATATAAATTATTATGATTAATCTTAAAATAATCCTTTGTTGCCCTTGGCTCTGATAGTGCTGCAGTGCACTCTACTTTCCAAAAACAGAATCAAATTTGAATAATGATCCAAAATGCATTCTAAAGGCATCTTCTAAATCTATACACAGTCATTTTCCGGTAATTTGTTTGCTCTATCAATAGCAGACTGAAAACAAAAATTGTTAAACTCAGGTCTAAACAAACACAACCATATTATGAAGGTTTTGGGAGTTTGGTGCAGTCACTCAAGGAATTAAGTATGTAAAATTACTTCAGAGTTCAGAAACTGCAGCAAATTAAATAAATTATAATAAAATGATTACCATTTACAATCTGTGTTGGAATTTATTATTACAAATAATGACAATGTTTAATTTCAGGTTTATACATCTAATAGT